AAGAACTTCCGGCTGGATACAAACGATCCTACTTTGACAATGCTGCCCGCACAACGTCTGCCACGGGACGAGGCCGACGGGTCTTTATGGTGGCCAAGGGAACGGAGTGGCAAGAGATTGTATTGGACCATTTGATTGCGAATCATGTGGTGGTGGTTGGTCCCAACAGTGCATCGTCACCCTCTCTGGTTCAAACCGCCCTGGAGCACAATCAACTGTTGCTACAGCGCTTTGTGGAAATGAAGCCATCCTCCTCACCTCTAGAGTATGATGCTTCGGAAGTGGATCTGTTGGCGTTGGGGGACCAAATGCTCTTGTTGAAACAACAACAACAACAACAAGAAAAAGAAGAAGAGTCACCCTCGTTCGAGATGGAACAAGATAACCATGATGATGATGATGACGAGTATGATGAAACCGCTATGCAACAAGAGCCACCAATGGACGATAATGGAAGCCCAATTGCAGAGCCACAAGGAGCATCCCAACTCAAGTTGCCTCCACAACAAACAACACACGATGAAGAATCTACAAAGACTCGTTCCAAAAGTGCATCGACGAATGCTCCTAGAGCCACTGTCGCTGCCTCTGCCAACGAGTCCACCACCACTACCGCCACCACCACTAATGCCACAGCCACCAAAACGAAGCCAAAGGGAAGAAGCGGAAGACCTAGAAAGAATAAGAATCGTAATGTGGATCCACCATCGGATGACATGGAATTCAGAAGTGAAGAAGAAGAAGAAGGAACTGCTGCTGCGGCTGTCAACTCCTCCAAGAAGAAGCAAAAGACTGGAAGAAGGAGAAGAGGAAGAGGACGATCTTCCTTTCAAAGTCAATTGAATCCGGATACACCCTCCGATCTTGTCAAATTCAAGCACATTGGTGGGGAAGCCAAGCGACAACAGACAAAAAGACGGGGCAAGGCGACTCCCATTCGACCACCTCGCCGGGAGGGTATTCAGGTGCGCGGAACCACGAGTGAACAAGAATCGGATGGTGGTGATACCCATTCGTTGGTGGAGGATACTACTGCTGCTGCTACGACTACTACTAATGAAAAGGAAAAGGAAAGTAATAATGGCAATGGCAATGGAACCACAACCATTGTCCAAGAAGAAACCACCAAGGCAGATGAAAGCGATGCTAATTCTTCGGAGAGTGGAACAACAGCAACCACCACCACCACCGTCGAAACCAAGAATGGTAGAGCTCTGTCCAAGACTGACATGGCAGAGGTGCATGAGGAGGAGGAGATTCCTATCAACAGGGAGCAAACCAATGCTATGACTACCGCCACCGCCACCACTACGACTACGACCACAACGAACAAGAGCAAGAGCCACAAGACTACCAAAGGCAAAAAGTCGCCCAAAAATTCAGTCAAGAAGTCCAACTACGAGGATATGGAGACACATGTTTACATTCCCACATGGGCGACCGTTCGTCCAATCTTGTTGGCTTGTGGATACGAATTCGGCAAGTTGTTGCCGAACT